CCTTCTACTCTCCCTAAAAATCAGTGGGTAAGGATTAACAAAAAGCAAAAACGAAAGAAACTTAAACCTCATAAACAAATCGTAGTGAACGTCACTGTAGCTACACTTTGCCCAACGGGCAACTGTTTCTTTTGTGCTTGTTCCTTCTTATTGAATGCATTGGGGTGACACTGGTTATTGGGGTGACACTGGTTATTGGGGTGACAATGGTTATTGGGGTGACAATGGTTATTGGGGTGACACTGGTTAACAAAATTACACAGGTACAACTCATCACCTGCACACTGCATGGTGTGTTCACCACCCCAAGTCACGTCTCCTTCCATCACCATTATCCCCCTGTGCCCGCCTCCACCTCCCCTCCCCTCCCCTCCCCGCCTCCCCTCCCCCTGGCAGTCACCACACCGTGGTCCGTGCCCATGCATTTTTCTCTTTTTCTTTTTTGCTCATTCCCTTCACACACACACACACACACACACCAGCTGCTCTCTCTCTAGGAATCTGTCTCTATTTTGCTTGTTAGTTCATTTTGTTCATTAGATTCCACGTATGAGTGAAATCATCTGGTACTTGTCTTTCTCCGACTGGCTTAGGTCACTGGTGTTTTTTTAAATCCTCACTGGAGGGAGGGAGAAATAGAGATAGAGATAGAGATAGAGATAGAGATAGAGATAGAGATAGAGATAGAGATAGAGATAGAGATAGAGATAGAGATAGAGATAAAGATAGAGATAGGTTGAGAGAGAGAGAGAGAGAGAGAAAGAAAGAAACATCAATCAGTTGCCTTCCGCACCTGCCCTAAGTGGGGACTGAACCTGAAACCTAGGTATGTGCACCAGACAACGCTCAACCAACTGAGCCACACCGGTTGAGCTTCACTGATTTTTCTATTATTATTTCAGAGAGGGAGGGAGAGAGAGAGAAACATCAATGATGAGAGAGAATCATGGATGGGCTGCCTCCTGCACGCCCCACACTGGGGATGGAGCCCGCAACCTGGGCATGTGCCCTTGACCGGGAATCGAACCGTGACCTCCTGGTTCATAAGTCGATGCTCAACCACTGAGCCACACCGGCCGAGCTTCACACTGGTCTTTGTAAGCAGCTACTGCACTAACGTATTTACCTTGAGAGCTGAATTGGGGGGCACCTCCCCAAAATTTAGCACATAAGCCCAGTGCCTCACTGCCCAACCCTGGTCCCAGCCCCTGGAGACACTGAGTTTACCATAATCATCTTCCCCCATTCACTCCCTTCAAGCCCAAGAACCGAGCACCGTCGGCCCTTCCGCCCTGTCCTGTCCGTCCGTCCGCCCAGTTACCGGTGGCCACCAGCTCCAGCTGCTCGCTGGCCGGGGACCAGCGACTGCCGTTCTGGTAGGAGCAGCGGTAAGGCCCGGCAGAGGTGTGCTCCATGGCTGGGATGTTGAGAGAGGCCACGTTCATGTACTTCCCGGACCTCAGCTTCTCCAGGCGGTACAAGTCCACGCCGGGGGGGCCCTGGCAGCGGACGGTCACCGGCTTGTTCAGGGGCACCAGGGGGCTGGGCAGGGCCCGGAGGGTGGGCTTGGGCAGTGGCTCTGGGAGGGAAGCAAGCGGAGGGCCATGGGGGTCAGCCGGGCCCCGGGCCCCCCCACCCTGCCCGCTCGCCTCACCGGCTGGGCCCAGAGGAGGGGTCCCCACTCACCATCCCGAGCTGCTATCACCTGCCGCAGACACAGCCCTGGGGACAGAAGGAAAGGACCCAGGGCTAGGGCGTCCGGGGACCCCCACTTCCTGGGGGCTGGACGCCAGGATGAGGCGTCGGCGTGCCTTCTAGGCCTCTCGTCGGCGTCGTTTTGGGAGATACACAGGCCCCTAACTGAAGTGCAAGGAGCTAACATGACGGGCCCCTAGGTTCCATGTATAGGAAGCGGCCATCTGTCCAGTGACAGGAAGTAGATTATGGTGGGCAGTGCGGGGGAGGGGAGGGGGAGGGGAGTGT